GGAAATTTGGGGGTGGGGGGTTGTCACCCCTGACACCCCACGACCCACAACGAACCACTATTTTGGCAGTTCATCCCCATCTCTATTAGGGAGTGTGTTGTCGTTGTTGTTGTTTTAAGAGACCTGGCTAGAATATTATTGCTTGTTGTGGCCCACAACTAGAAGATACCTACAAACCAAGAGGATTTCTTCCAGAAACTGTTGTTGTTGTTGCTGCTGCTGCTAAAGTGAATCTGTGCACTATCACAACTGCTTCCCACTTGATCAAACCTTGTGGCTCAGTATTGTCCATTCTGACCAATGTTTACACTCCAGGTTCTCACGTAAGGATGAACCTTCCCAGACGGACCCTTCCAAGAGCTAGATTTGGGACCTTCTGCAAACCATCCAGAGCATTGCCACTGCAGTCACATTTATAATGTGCACATGTACAAAATAACAGAAAATCAGGCTTCGGTAGGGAAACAGCTGCACGTTCATGACCTGTTCAAGCTTCGTTCTTTTTGTGCTGTCGTTGCAAATGTATGCCCTGCTTCTGAAATATGAGGACCGTAGAGGTAGCTGGCACCGTGTTGCAAAGTGCATTTAGCAAGAGGCAAAGGGTTAAACTGGCCAGCTCTGAGGATATCCCTCCTCGCTGTGGAAGGGCTGCCTGGCATCCCACGGCAGGCCATGCCTTGCCCTAGGCAGCAGTCACCCCCACCAACGAGGCTTTCTTGCCTAGGTTTCATTCTCCATGTGCAAGAAAGAAACTCTGTACTATAGGCTCAGAGGCGTTTGGTGCAGAAGGTTGCTTGATAAAGATTCTGGCGCTACATACCCCAGCATATATGCAGGCTAAGGGGTTAGAAACGTCTAAAGGTGTGGGAACCAGGGTACCCGATACCAATCTTACACGTGCTGGGGTGAGAGGAAAAAGGAAAAGCCTCCATGGCAGTGGCTTCCTACCTTGAGTCTCCTGAGGTTCTTGGATTAAGACTCCCAGAAGTCTTCACTACTAGCTCTGTTGGCCAGGATTTCTGGGAGTTGTAGTCCAAGAACATCTGGGGACCTAAGGTTGGGAAGCCGTGCTCTGTGGAATTTAGCATGGTCCTCCAAGAAACTCTTGGGAGGCTCTGTGAAATTCTGGAGTCTATTAATAAAGACCACAGTTTCATTTGTGCTTTGTTACCCTTCTAATCTTTTGATGCCATTGAATACTTGGCTTCTCTCTGAACAGTGTGCGCCAATATCTGATCAATGTTTCACTAATTAATTGACCTTAGTTTATCCGAATGTTATCCTCCTTCATTCCTTTTTCGCAGCTTAATTTTTTTTTCAAATTGTAGCCCTTTTATCCAAATCTGCTTTCAGTACAGTGATGCCTCGCAAGACGAATGCCTCACGCAACAAAAAACTCACAAGACGAAAGCATTTTGCGATTTTTTTTGTGACTCGCAAGATGAATTTTTCTATGGCCATGCTTCACAAGATGATTTTTTTTCTTTTTTGGTTTGTTTTGAATCGCACAACTATTAGTACCGCACTTCACAAGATGAAATTTTCACAATACGACATGGCTCGCAGAACGAATTAATTTCGTCTTGCGAGGCATCACTGTACTCAGGTACTGTGGCAAGTAACTTTAAAACCAAACAAGACATGATTTCTCTGAAGGCTGCTTGCTTACCTCTGAACACCGGGTTTATTGTCTCCTCACTTTCTGAGCATGCCTAGTTTTTCCAACGTGAATTGGAGAGTACCGCTTGTGGCTAGAGAAGCAGTGGGCTAGGCACATCCCATTCCTACCTGAAGCCTACCAGCTGCAGAAATACATGCAGAAATTAACATGCATTTGGATCAACAAGCTTAACTTTGTTCTTCATAAGTACGTAGTCCTGCACAAACGACGGCATCAATGAGAGGGGTATCCAAAGCATCTTTGCGTCCAGGCCTGCGCTGTACCTGGTCTGCGGATCTTTGCTCATCAAAGCATGCTCCATACACTCCACAACTAGCGAAAGCTCCGTGTTCTGACACAACTTAACCAGCCTTTCTTTCTTTATGGCATCTGAGGCAAAATGAAATCAAGGGCAGGTATAAATACACAGCGGTAGGCTTTAAGTACTCTGAATTCAATATGTCTTGATTGTTTACTTTATATTCAAATTGACTGATCAAACAATAACACCCAGTGGTTCCCTTATTTTAGTAAACCAAGGTCTGGGGAGTTCACCCATTCATTTACTATTTTTCCCCAAAGGTTCTGTTGGTATAAAGGAAGAAAGTTCATTTTCCTAACGAGCACTGATCCTGTGAACCTGGAGGTAAGCAGTACACAGGTCCCCCGTGCCCCCCCACCCCTGCATTCACATTTCCATCCTTTCCATCTCTATCAGGTTGTTGGGGCTTGGAGTGTTCACAGGGGCATGACTGCTGTGTATGCCAAACGCCACCACTAGCGAGGGCACGAACCAAAAAACCCACAAACTAAGCTGGTTTGCGGTTCGATTCATGCAAGCCGTTTTGCTGAAATGAAATGAAGCGCCAAACTTTTTTCCACTTCATGCTTTGGCAAAACAGATGCCCCCCAACCCCCTACCGGTTGCCCCTGGCACCTCCCTCCCTGGTCCTGCCACCTCCTCCTCTTCCTCCTCCTCCACCGCCATCTTTGGAGACTGCAGCCCAGCTGCCCTTCCAGGAGCTGGGTCTGCGGTCTCTGCGCATTCACACGCCTATCAGCTGATAGGCCAGCACATGCGCAGAAACAGTAATCTCTCTGAAAATGGCTGCAGTAGAAGAAAAAGAGGAGGAGTTGGAGGAGGTGGCATGGCTAGGCAGAGCCACAACAGGGGTGGTGAAAAGGGGGCAGGGCGGCAGCAGAAGGGGTGGAGGCATTAGGTTCCCTTTCCCCCACGCACAAACCGGTTTGTTTTTTTCAGGGTCCAGGGGTGCAGATTCATCATTTTTCTGGTTCATGCCCATTTCCAGCTACCGCTCTTTCAGCCCCAATGAACTGCAGTGTTTTCACTGGCAAAGTTGATGGAGAAAGGAATTCATGGCAACAAACCGAATTTCAATGAGTTGTGTTTGATTATTGTTTAAATTCATTCCTCTTTTTGAGGCACACTTCAAAGATAGGTAGAAATTCATTCCTACACCAGATTTGAAAAGGCATCCCAGTATACTCTGCCTAGTCCGATATTCTTTGAGGACCTTCATCAACCAGTAGGAAACATGTCAATTCACGGCTTACCTTCCCTTAAATAGTTTTCACCGTACTGCCTTTGGATTTCCGGAGGGAGATTGTTCCAAATCTCTATTTTTTCTTTTACGACCTTGATTCTGTCGGAGAGCGCCGTTTTGAAAAGCCCAGGTTCAATGCAAGACACCTTCACTCCAAAGGGCTTCATGTCCTGCCTGCAAACAGTCAACAGGGTTTATGTGAGTTATTTCAAGAACCTATTTGGAGTGGGATTTTAGACCAAAAGCACGACGGTGTCCATGTCTTATAAAGACCTGGGGCAGTGGCAGTCCTTAGAGTATTGTCCTAGGACAAGGGTTTGTAATTAAGAGAAAATTAATTAAAAGTAGGGGTCCTGAGTGGCAATGATACGGGAGGCACTTCAAAACATGGCACAATTGACACCCACCCACCCCATGATATCTCTGGAATGCATAAGAACACTTTCACAGCAGCAAGTTTTTCCCCCATGATCTTGAGAATTTGGGGGAGCTGCATGTGGCACCTCAGCGGGCACCCCAGGCCTACAAGGGTGCTACATGCAGCTCCCCAGACTCCACATTGCCCACTCCTGTCTCGGGACTAAGGAGCGAGCTTCAAAATTCCATTCAGCCTTGGAGCTCACTGCCCCTCCCCCGCATTGTCCAATCATCACATAGTGCTATTGTAAGAATATAATGGGGAAATACTGTATATCCCTGAGATCCTGTGATAGAGAGCAGGCTATATATGCTTTACATAAGTGGATTGGTGAATACTTAAACCTCCTTTGACAAATGAAGGATAAAAGTGAAATCTGAAAGCGTGTGTGCTGTGTATGCATACACCTAGATAAAGACCATCTAAAACCTCTATAATAAAAATAATAACCTTAGAACTGCAGAGCCGGAAGGGACCCTCTAGATCATCAAGTCCATCCCCTGTCAAGGAGGCCCAGTTGGGGAATCAGACTCCCAACTAAACTACTGAGCTACCCAGCAATGTCTTTATAAAGGTATGCTCACAAGGAGAACTAAGTAGTCTTTGCCACTGTGGGAAATAAGTGATCTGGATAATGTCCTCATACAACCTATTGCTCATCTTTAAATCTGAGCACAATTAAATATATATGAATGCCTTAGCTATATCTGGGGTTGGGGGGATTGAGGCAGATTGAGACCTGCTGGATTTGGATTCTCAATATTTTAAAACAGGGAGAAGAAAAGGCCTGTTTTCCTCTTCGGTTATGCTGCTGAAATTAAGAGTGCACAGGAGTAGATGTGCAAAAGGCTCCTGTGTTTGAGTAGTTCTGGGACCGGAAGCAATCTCCTGGGTTGAGCGTGTGCCCACTGGAACCTTGCTGCAAATTCTGGCTGCCTTCCTGAGCTGCCCTTCTGGACCTGGTTCCAGCTCATGGGTCTCAAGAAGCCTCGTGGCGCAGTGGTTAAACCGCTGTCCTGCAGCCAAAAACTGTGCTCCCGACCTGGAGTTCAAATCCCAGGTAGCCGGCTCAAGGTTGGCTCAGCCTTCTATCCTTCCGAGGTTGGTAAAATGAGTACCCAGCTCCCTGGGGGGGGCAATGTGTAGCCTGCATAATTAACTTGTAAACCACCCAGAGAGTGCTTGAAGCGCTACGGGGCAGTATATAAGCAGCACGCTTTTTAGGGGAAAGGGGAGTAGATCCTACGGTTCTAAAGTAGGTCCTAAGACATTTGGCCACTTGTAACTTTTATAATTCTTGAGTCACAAGTCATGTATTTCAGTCGACCAAGCCAATTCATTAAGGATAATTTTACCTTAAGCTATCAGTGAATGCTTCTGCTCCATATTTGGATGGACAGTAACCACCAGAGCACAGGGGTACGACCCCACCGACACTAGTTACATTTATTATCCTTCCTTTGGCTTTCTTCACCAGCGGAAGCATGTTTATGGTGACGTTTATGAGGCCAATCAAATTAACTTCAATTGGGGCTCTATAGTGCTGAATATTCAGCCAGTCAGTTGGCGCGGATGCTCCCATGATTCCGGCATTGTTGATCAAGCCCCACAGACCTGTGAAGAAAGACAATTGAAAGCACACAATGATTGGTTATCCCCGGGAATGAGGCATATGGAAGCAGAAGGCTTTCAACAATTTGAAACCAATACTTATTTTTTTTTTCAAAAGGAAAACAACATAACCCATGGACAGGAAAGGCCATAACAACAGGAACCCAGAAATACTGATTGACTAACCTCATATAATTGTGTTATTTGTTAACTCTGAGCACTTGGGAAGAACTTAATAAGGCTGTTGGCAAACTGGATTGTATCCAAAGGATGTTGACTAAGAGAGTGCAGGGTCTGGGAATTAAGTAGTGCAAGGAACAGTCAAAAGACTGGGTTATGTTCATATCTGAGGAGGGCAAGATTAAAAGAAGGTATCACAGTGGTCTCCAAATATTCACAAGGTTGTAGCACAGAAGAATGGACTTGTTCTTTCTTGGTCCATGGACCTGGAACCAGCCCTAGGACATTGTGAGAAACTGATTTTGCCTAAACATTCAAAGAGACACTAAATAGAGAGCTTTAAGCACTACGGAGCGATATATCAGCAGCACACTTTAAAGTGAGTGTTAGATGCATTTCAAGGCAAAAGGCAGACTCACTCTCTAGAGCATTGGTTCCACACCTTGGGTCTCCAGATGTTCTTGGACTGCAACTCCCAAAAGCCCTCGCCACTAGCTGTGCAGCCAAGGGCTTCTGGGAGTTGCAGTCCAAGAATGTCTGGGGACCCAAGGTTGGGAACCACTGCACTAGAGGGCTATAAGCAGAGAGCGGGTGCTCCTTTGCCAGTACTGTGATGCAGAATTGGGAAAAGTCATATTTTTGAATGAAAATCCTCAGGAGCCACCAACTACTATTGATGGTGGCCATGTCAGTATGACAGTTTCTGGGTGCTGTAATCTAAAAAGCAACTTTTCATGAGCTCTGCTGCTATGGCTCCATCCTGCGCTTCTGTCAGAAGTTTGGACTAGATGCCCTCCAAGAGTCCTCTCCTCACCCTCCATGAGCCAGAAATGACTGGATCACTTGACATTTAATCAGTTTACAACTCACTGCTGGATATCTTAAATTGCCACTGATGAAACCTATTGTAATATGAGGTGATGCAAACACTTCACATAGGGCAATTAGCCCATGAGGGCTGTTTCACAGACACTAATTACGGCTCACTTCATCATGATTAAAGCAATACTTTAATTCGCTTCCTGTCTTTCAGACCCCTTGATGGCATAAATGTGATATAAAACATCACCATAGCTCTGCAACAATTAAAATACAAGACCAAATCAAATCTAGCAGCATTAGGAGAACTGCCACACTTCAAAATCAGGAGTGCCTTTGAATGGAGAGTTTTTTCAGCCCATCAGTCAAGAACTGGGACTGCCCATTTTTTCTGCCTCCTTTTTCTAGCCCTGTTTAAAATGCATACAGTCATAATGGAGAGAGAACAGTTGCTCAAAATAACAGCTGCCTTATGAGATCTCTCCTCACATTCCGTAACATCTAGTACAATGAACTATGCATGCAGCCTTCCTGTTTTGGACTTTTCTCAATCCCCCATTCCATTAGTAGCTGCCATGATGTGACATGAGGGCAAGGAACACCCAACACAGTGACAAGGGGCATCAGTAATTACACATTTCAGAGAAGAGCTTAACACTAGGATGCTGAATCAAGTCATTTGGTTTTTGGGCTGGTTTTTTTTTTTTTTTGCCTCCCTACTTCTTCTATTAATGTACTGATTACTTTTTCCACAAGAGGGGAAAAAAGCTCATTACTACACATTTCAGAGAAGAGCTTAACACTAGAATGCTGAATCAAGTCATGAGGTTTTTGGGCTGTTTTCTGCCTCCCTACTTCTTCTGTTAATGTACTGATTACTTTTTCCATAAGAGGGGGGGGGGGAAAGCTCATTAGAGCTCCACCTGGTGGTCTTAAATAGGGTACACATGGAGAAGCTCCCTTTTAAAACTGGTTGTTAAGGTCAAATTGATTAAGAAAACAGTGTGCTAAAATAAATGGCCCTCTGATGGCCATTTATTTTAACTTGCTTTCTAAGGAAATGAAACAAGCGGGGGGGGGTAACTTGCTTTCTAAGGAAATGAAACAAGCAGGGGAGGGGGGAATTCATTGTGTGAATGTGAAACTTGGCACAGTTCTTAACACAGGTCAAACCCCAGTATTTTGGCTGTGTGACCAGACCCTTAAGTCACATTCAGATGTTGTGTCCATGAATTAAAACAAAGGTTGAAATATCTAGAATTACTTAACTATTTGATAAGTAAAAATCATTAACTTGGGTCCTTTTAAAGGAGAAAGGTTGGATAAAAATATTTGATAAATTGATTAATTAATGAGTTAATTCCCCCTCTGTATTTTAACAGTGGCAGTCCAATCAATGTTCTCTCTTGTTCTCAAACTATATACTGATCCTCTAAATTTGCTTGCACATGATGTGGATGCCAGAATAAGACATTAACAATTATAAAATGGAAGAGAAATTACATCCCAAGATTTGAACTATTTTTGTATTAGGAACTCTAAGGACTTGGTTAACAAAGCTGGATTCTCTTTTTCTGACAATATTTTCAAACCCCATTTACATCTATTCAGTAAGTCCCTGATTCAAGCTTATACACATTTGTCAGTCTAAATCAGTGGTTCTCAACCTTGGCTTCCCAGATGTTCTTGGACTGCAACTCCCAGAAATCCTGGCCAGCACAGATAGTGAGGAAGACCTCTGGGAGTTTTAGTCCAAGAACACCTGAGGATCCAAGACTGGGAACCACCAGTCTAAATGGTAAGAGTGTGATAGACTATACTAACATTTCATGCTCAGTATTGCTTTAGCTCAAGAACTTTCAAGTTCTCAAAAGGTCAAGAGTGATCATATGATAATCTAATTGCAGTATCCCTTTCTCTACTGATTAGAAAAGCACCTCTATCCTAAAAATAGTCCAGCGAGAGAAAAGGCTGCACTGGACTAGAAACTTACAAGATAGCATACATTGATTCTTAACATCTCCTAGGATGCTATACCTGAGAGAACAATTTTTTACCTCCTCAGAACCTTTGAAAATCTTTGAAAAAATTGTTCAAGAAATTAGAACACTCAAATGCATCTTGGAGAGAGCAATAAGTAGACTGAGGCAAGAGATCTCATTTGAAAACTAGTGTTGGAATACACTGACAGCACAAACATTTATTACAGCTCACAAGGGGAGAGTATGTAAGGAAAACTTGGATAGAAGTAAGTTTAGCAGTTTAAGAAGAGATTCTGAAAGATTCTGGTCACTAGGGACAAAGGGAATAAGGAAGAATCCTGGACTCCCTCCCATTGCTGTGATTTGGCAAAAAAAAAAAAAAAGGCAACGTTGTTCCTCATTAAGATACAATCATAATGTAACTTAGTTATGCCTTTGTTACGAAAAAATTGTTCAAGAAATTAGAACACTCAAATGCATCTTGGAGAGAGCAATAAGTAGACAGAGGCAAGAGATCTCATTTGAAAACTAGTGTTGGAATACAATGACAGCACAAACATTTATTACAGCTCACAAGGGGACAGTATGTAAAGAAAACTTGGATAGAAGTAAGTTTAGCAGCTTAAAGAAGAGATTCTGAAAGATTCTGGTCACTAGGGACAAAGGGAATAAGGAGGAATCCTGGACTCCCTCCCATTGCTGTGATTTGGCAAAAAGAGGCAATGTTGTTCCTCATTAAGATGCAATCATAATGTAATTTAGTTATGCCTTTGTTATTAGGGAAAGGAATGAATTATTAGTAACAGATGATGTTTATTAGTTCCTCCTGAGCTCCCTGAATGTGCTTCTCTTGCCTTCTTTTAAAACTGTGTTCTTACTTACAGTTTTGAAAGAACACAGGTGATGATGGTGCAGCTTTGTCACAAGACTAGCTATCTCTTGCCTTCTTTTAAAACTGTGTTCTTTCAAAACTATAAGTGGATCAGGTGGTGATGGTGCGGCTTTGTCACAAGACTAGCTGTAGAAGCATCCAGCTGGAAGGCCTAGCTCAAGCAAGAGAACCGCTCTGTGGTCTGTTCTTCCTGTGCTTTTTAAAGGATGTGGCAGTGATGGAACAGCAAAGGAAAATGACTGGATTGGTTCCAGTGTGTGGATGGTGCTGGCAAACCATAGAAGTAGATGAGGCCTAGAGGCTCTGACCAGCCGTGTTGGACTACACCTCCCATGGCCAGTTATCAGAGATGAAGGGGACAGTCTTTGAATAAGATCTAGAAAAGCTCCTTCTGCTGTAAAGATGGCGATGTGCGTAAATTACTCATTGTCCAGATTATACATCATTGATCCAATAAAGAGCACTGGTGTCTTAAATCTTGCATTCCATTCACCAAGATGACCGAATCCCAAATGATAGGGTTAATTAGAATCCCAAGAGGGAGAAAGCAGAAGAAAACAAATGAAAATCAAAGCATTTCCTTACCCCCATAGAGAGAGTGTGCTGAGAAAGAAGGGAAATGCCTCTGAAAAGGGGTCTGGGACCCCAAGGAGATTCCCCTTGCAGCCTCTGTCCTCTTCAAGCAGGGGTGGGCAAAAGGTGGCCACAGGCTCTTGACAGATCTGAAAAATGGCCCTTGAGATGGCCCAGCCCTGTCTTAGAGGTGCAGAAACCTTCTCAAGGCATGGCCCTGAATCTCTGGTGTTTGCTAGGTCACCAGAAGAATCCAGCTGTTGTGTTACTTACCTTTTTCTCCTACTTCTTTTTTAATTTTTTCTGTCACCGCCTTGATGTTCTCTGAGTCTGTCACATCCAGCAGCACAGTCTGGAGCTTCTTGGAAGCCTCTGCTTCTAGTTCTGCGGCTCCGTTTTCTGTGAGGCAGGCGGCGATGACATGGAAACCTCTCTTATGCAAAGTCCTAGCGGCCAGGTTTCCAAAGCCGGAGTCACAGCCAGTGATGAACACGTATTTCCCTCCAAGGTTGGTATCATCTAGGTTTTCTCCTTTTCTCCATTTCCACCAGAAAAAGCAGATGACGAACCACAGGACCAAGTAGTGAAACATCCCGATATCAGTAGAGTCCTCGTCCCCGTTTATCTCCTGAAAGAAACAAAAACAAAAGAAAATATGAATTCCCTCAGCATCAGCCTCATGGTGTGTCCACCAGCCCTGAAAACCCTAAGAGAACGGAAAGGAGACAGTGCTGGTGGCCAGCCACACTTTCTTTGGCAAGCTTTTGAGGCAAACTAATTAGGGTTAATAAATCAAGGAACCACTTTGTATTCACTCTTGCATAAGACAAATGGTGCATCTGTGGGGCACCAGCTGCGGAAGATCTAACTCATTACATTCTCATCCGTCAGTTATATACAGATATCAGAGAATGTTGTCTCGATCCTTTACTAAAGAGAAGGAAGGTTTGAGAAGTAGAAGATGAAAGGGACTAGGAACAAACCAATATATGATCCAAAATGCCGCCCTCTTCATGATAAAGGTGGCCAGATGCACAAAGACATTTAAGGAATCTGGACTAAAACCAGTTACTGAGTCCTGAAAAAGCCTGAACGTAATCTGATAAAACTCCTAATTTCAATGTATATTAATATAACCACAGTCAGATACCGCCTGTAACTGATTAATCTATCTCACAAGTAAAGTATTGGTTCAAAGATAATTGAACCCTAATTTTAGCTATTTTTGCAGTTATTTTATGTTAGTCTGACAGATTGTAACTGTTCTAGCTTGCCATGGTCTATGACTGGTGCGATGAATAAATATTTTTCTTCTTTCCATAGTATAATTGTTTAGGGAAGTTAATTTGTTTTGAACAGCAGAAACCCCCTTTGTTGGAGTGGGGCAATCTGGGAGCTGTGATCCAAAAGAGTAACTTTTCCAGGCAATGTTGCTGCCTGAAGAACGGGGTGCGATGGCCGTGTTTCAACCCAGGAAGGTTGCCACAGGGCCAGAAGTTGTCCAGTCCTAAAGACATTACTTATGTGGCTTGCTGCCCTCTTGTTAGAAAGACCCGCAAGTGTCTCTTCCCGATGCTGCCCCTTCATGACAATTAGGTAGCTAGTTCACTCTGCCTGATGATAGGGCTGGTCCTGGGGAGGTGGGTGAGGAAGCAAAGGAAGGACAAAACAGAATTTAAACTTACTCCATTCATACCGGGCTGTGAAGTAAAAGTTCTGCGATCGGCCCAGACCGGTGTCCTCTCTTGCTTGTTTTCTCAGCTTAGTTCCTGTTCTAATGACAGATTCATTTTAAAAGCAGGATATTGCACATTTAGCGATGTGGAACACCACAGGTAGATGTGGTTCTTTTAACTTCCTTTGTCATTTCTTTCACACCAACAGGCTGCTGAACGGCTTAACTTAATGGTGCAATAATCATAGAACAGCACAATTGCTCTTTAGTAAGCTTGCACCAGTTTGTGTAGTATAGGGGTGGGCAACTTGTGGCCCTCTGTGTGGTAATGGATTACAACTCCTATCATCCCTCACCACTAGCTATGTTTTAAAATAAATAAAATTATTTTACATTTTTAAATTTTTAAACCTCCACTCCACCTATCTTGAGTTCTAGGAAGTGTCATACTTTGTTCCTTTCCTAAGCATAATCTATAATAAATTCATTGCTCTTTATTTAATATATTTATTGTCTCCACTTTGTAGTTTGCTGAGTGGAAGATTTGCCATTAGAAGTTGACAGCTTAGTGAAAAGAAATGGGGAAATAATCTCATAAATTTCCAATTTGGTTTCTACAAAAGTTAGGGCACAGTATGGCCCGGCCAGGAAAAAAAAATCTGGAATGAAGCTAGAAGGGCAAAAATCTCCCCTGAAAGTACCATTGATTTAATGCCACATGTGGCTACTTGATCATGCACAAGCTGTGGCTGTTTTGTCTTCCAATGTTGTATTAGAAAAGCAAGAGTGTGCCTGGGCTGTACTGGCAAGTCCTTTGACATCTTGACATCATGTGGGGAAATCGGGAAGCCTCCCTACGTCATCAAGGCAGCCAGACTGTTCTCCTAGTTTACAGCTTACTGAACACAGCAGTGGGAACTGTGTTTGGCCAATATAATTTCTTGGGGTTGTAACTCGGCCGCTGGCCCATGTGGGATGGCCCATTCAGTCCCCATACCCGGAAACAACCTTCCTAGGCTTTAAATGGGTGAACAAAAGAGGTGGTAATGATGACAGCCGCAAATGGGGTGGGTAGGGAGAAAAAGATGAGTTTGGAAATGAATGAGAAACAGGTTTGGACGACCACACAACGGATAACATTCCTTCCAGCTCAGGAGCAGTGAACTTTTGAGAGCTGCATCTTTACAGGCTGCAAGTGAATACAGTGTTAATAGGCTGGTTTTAGTCCAGATTTATTTAAAACAGCTACATAATTCATAGATCTTCACTCCTGTTCCTTAGATTCATCACTTTCCCTTGGATCATTAGCTTCTAATCTTACGGTATGATCTCACAGAGCTAGAAATATGTAGACTTCGGCAATTAATTTTTAAACCTACCACTGACGGTTTTCACGCCATGTTCAGCATGTTTCAGGAGGCTGTCTCGATCTAAGGAAGGGAGGAAGGAACACATATAGGCAGAGAACATGCGTCGGTGGTGAGCTGTGCTGATGAGGGAGTGAGGACCGGGGGGGAGGGCAGGTATCCCCAAACTTAGGACTGTAAGAAATTGACTCTGTGATCTCCCCCAGTGGCTGGTGCAGTTCCCATGATCCTTGACTAGGCAGTTGATGTCGGTGTGGGAGGTTCCTTTGACCCCAGCATCCAAAAGCTGAGACTCAAGGCAGGACTCGCTGATGTCACAAGGCAAGACCTGGTGACATCACAAGTCTTGTGAATCCATGGAGAGGAAACCTAACATGTCATCTGAGGAAGTGAGGCAACATAACTCCTAGAGAAACAATACATTCCCACCGACACCTATTCCATTTCTGCTTTTCTTTAACCTTTTTGCTGTACCTCACCACATTTATTTCCTTTCTTTTTATTCCTCTTTCTCTAGATGTCCCCGTTTCTTTCTCAGTGCCTTGACTTATTTCCTCTACTCTCCCCTTTCAAAAAACAAAACAAAACAAAACACATTCCTATTTGATTTGATTTGATTTTAATTTCTAACCAAACACCCCTATCATGAAGCAGAGTGAGGCAGCTAATTTCAAGACCACAGTCTAGCTGTCGGGGGGTGGGGAGAGATCACAAATTGTTACTTATATAATTTTCTTGTCAATGTATTTTTATCACAAGGGAGCAAAAGAGGTTCTTGTGGGATGTGAAGCCTCAAGTGCCACCATAATGGGTGATTTTGCATATGTGCCTGCTCCTAGTGCACATATTTTTATGGGGTGGAGAGGGGAGACTTTAACTCAGGGAAGAGAAAGTTTTTGGCTAGCCCTCCTTTCCAAAAATTAGAAAGACATGTCAAGAAATATAGGACATATGGTGTCCGACTGACTAACTGGCTTGTTGACTGCTCTTGGTTTCGCCTCAACGGACTAGGAGTGGGTGGGTGGGTGGCAGCTGGTCCTGGGTTGGAATTTCTAAACTGCCTGGAATGGTCTTACTACTCAGATTGGCGGTATTAGATAGATAGATAGATAGATAGATAGACGAGACGAGACGAGACGAGACGAGACGGACGGACGGACGGACGGACGGACGGACGGACGGACGGACGGACGGACGGACGGACGGACGGACGGACGGACGGACGGACGGACGGACGGACGGACGGACGGACGGACGGACGGACGGACGGACGGACGGACGGACGGACGGACCTAAGTCCCAGACAGCCGAGACGAGACCAGACAGACAGACAGACAGACAGACCTAAGTCTCATTAACACATCTTCTGTATTAAACTAAAAGGGAAAGTCAAAGGAACTGGGACAAAGGGCAGGAACTGTAGGCAGAGGGTGTAGGCAGAGAAATTATACTGCTACAGTGCCTGATGATCCAGAATAATAGCTGGGCACTCCCTCCCAATTTAAATGTATCGTTTGGAAGCAAATCCAAGGATTCACCATTCACCTAGTCTTCCTCACACATTTGTAGGCATTAAAACAGTCAAATTATCAAATTATTTTCACTTTTTTTATTTGTCTGAAAAGACAGAAAATCAGGAGGGTGAATAATTCCTTACTAATCATGTGATGCCACGATATTTAGAAATCTGCGATGTGGCACAGATAAGCCTTTCTGTTAGGATAAAATGTTGCCACTTGCTCCTTACCAAATTTCTGTAGAGTTGCTTAGCAATAATGTGAAAAGCACAACCAACTAACCAGCCAGCCAGCCAGCCAGCCAGCCAGCCAGCCAGCCAGGCAGCCAATCTACCTACCTACCTACCTACCTACCTACCTACCTACCTACCTACCTACCTACCTACCTACCTACCTACCTACCTACCTACCTACCTACCTACCTACCTACCTACCTACCTACCTACCTACCTACCTACCTACCTACCTACCTACCTACCTACCTACCTACCTACCTACCTACCTACCTACCTACCTACCTACCTACCTACCTACCTACCTACCTACCTACCTACCTACCTACCTACCTACCTACCTACCTACCTACCTACCTACCTACCTACCTACCTACCTACCTACCTACCTACCTACCTACAGTACCTACCTACCTACCTACCTACCTACACCTATGAAAAACGAGGTAGTCTTTGTTTATCAACCAGACTTGTCCTTCAGTGCTGTTGCCTAGCAAGTCTTATGTCCTGACTCTTGTTTTGCAGCAAAAATCTACCTGCACACTTGCTATACAGCAGCATTTAAAGAGGCAACTTTTAAACCTGATTGTCAGAGTCTCTCTCTCTCTCTCTCTCTCTCTGACACTGATACACACACACCCAAAGAAAGAGAGAGGAAGTGGGAGGCAGATACAGCAAGAGGAGTACCTAAGGCACAAGAGGTCTGGAAAGAAAAAAGAAAAAGCTCCTTGACACGCTCGGTCCATTGATGCCCGGCTTAGGAGAGCCAAGTGTATGACATAGGCAGTCTACTTTTCCACCAACCCCAGGCTAGAACTGACTCAAAATAATCTGAACACAATGAGACCAACTCTGTTTAATTTTTCGCCCTATTCAATGAATTAATCCATATGAAGAAACCATAATTGAAATAATATGTGACAGCCATAGTTACTAATCATTATATACTACCTCAAAATGCCTTATATTATTTTCAGCTGTGTATTAGCTCTTTAAGCAATAGGTATGGAACATTGTTTCAAATGTTTTTCATTTTATTTATTTATTAGTTAGATTACTATATATTAGTTATACCTGTTAACACGTTTACGCCACCGTGGCAAACAAACAAGAAAAATATTCAAATCAAAAATGTAATCAGTAGTTCTTCCTTACCTACTCAAAGAAACTGTTAAAGCAGGATGCTGTTAAAAAGACAGTTCCTCATCAGGATGATGTGAGTCTAGAAGTTTACTTGGTCCCTTCCATCTTCCCTCTTCAAGCTGGAAATACAAAAATATTTATATGGCACAGGGCATCCTTATGACTTTTTAAATCACAGTATGACGAGGAAAAGATTCTGACTCAACAAACAAATAGTAGGTTTGGCTTATATCATGAATCATGGACAAGTGTGAGTTGAGTTTCATATGTATATTTGGTTCTGGGTGAGTCACGTGTGTTTCCTGTGCCAAGAAACACACCCAGAGGCCAGGATTGTATCCAACACAATGAGAAGTACATAACATTTCAACAGAGTTGCTTCATTTTTCAGCCAATCACTCCAAATGTATGCTTTCTGTGCTTTCATGGTGGTGATGATGTTACTTGTAAAAGACCATAGGAATTCTATAGTAAATAGAAAAGGAGAAGACATATAAATGCAATAAAGGACTCAGAAAATCCTATTTCAACTTCGAAGGTGATAAGGAAGAAGCCAAGAATGCTGCACTACTTCTTCTTCCTCTGCTAACATCTGGATTCCTTTTGAGCATGGCTAATTTCGCAGACCTGCTATCTTAGTTTGCTACCTAACTCACGGCTGAACACAAAACTCAACTTTCCAGAGTCCAACACCATCTCTTTCATTCTGCAGAATGAGTTGGCACCTCAGCAAACAGATTTTGGATTCTATGAAACATAATCCAACCAGCAGCAAATCCTAATCAACGTATGTGTTATTGGTGTATTTTTATTGCCAAGGAACATGGCAAGCCTTTCTGTCTCATGTCACAAAACGACTAGGCTAGTTTGAAATGCTGTGTACTTTAACTTTGGGTATGTGCGTGCATGCAGCTAACTACAGTAGGACCCTCCTGTCCATGGGATCAATATCCACTGGTTCATTTATCCACTTTCTGAAAATATTAAATTAAAAACCCTCAAAAACCCGCTTTCTGAAAATATTAAATAAAAAATCCTCAGAATTATGTATTTATACCGGTAGGTATTTCCAGGGTATTAAATAAAAAATCCTCAGAATTATGTAGTATTTATAGGCATTCCCAGGGTGTATTTAACAGAAACGGCCACTAGAGGGAACCAGCGCCCATGCATTTGATACTGTCGCACTTTTTTTGACATCTGCGGGTGGGCTTAGAGCTGATCCCTGTGGAAAACGCAATCTGTTCCCTCATTTTGGTGTGGAAGACAGGAGTAGTTTTGCCCACAAAATGCTGCTCCTCACTTTAGCCAAATTTGGAGCTTTTGGCCCATCATTCTTACCAAAGAACCTCGCTAAGAATAACTCAGATTTCCAACATCCATGTAGAGGAGTGGCAGGCAATTGGTCCCAAGATGTTTGTGGACTACAAATCCCATAACCACCACCACCCCATTGCCTATGCTGGCTAGGACTGAGGGAATTATATTCCCAACAGATCCGGAGGGTGACAGACAGTTGCCCACACCATTTCTGAAACTGATTGGTAAGAAAGTTACACCAGACATAGACCCCGAAGGTGCAACTAGAGAGTGAAGTGGTCCCAAGCTGGATTGGGCTAAACAGGGTGCTTGAAAGTACAACCTGAGATTTAGCGCTATCCTTGCATCCTCACACAAGGATGGAGTGATTTCAGGACGGGAAGCCACACAGCACCTCAGAGTGATCCTATTTAGCCCCTTCTTCCCTCTCAGCCTCCATGTCCTTACGTCCTCCCCGCCTCCCCCTCTGTGGGGGGGGGAGTGGGGACAGCTTATTTATTGATAAGTGGGGATCATTTCATAGGTCTCCCACCAAAGGGAAACAGCACTTGTAAAGAAGGAAAGGAAAGGGGGAAAAAAGGTCCTTCTCTACATTGTCTCCTGTCTCCCCAAAACAACACAGGAAATTGGAGAAAAGCTGGTATTATTTCTCATTATTTTTGAGGACCGCTCTCACCACCCCTTGATGGCAGAGCTTCTATGTCCTTCACATCTGTGTGACCGACATTTAAAAGACTAATTCTAAAATGGAGAAGGAAGTTCCACTGACTAAAACATACAAGCTGCTGAACATTACCTGCTATTACCCAGCTTCCAACAGCGTGGAGGTTTCTCCTATGGGGTAGAGAGGAAGGTTGGTGGGGACTTTTCACTTTGCACCAGCTCGACTGACATTTTTGTTGTTGTTTCTCCTTGATAAACATGAGGTAATTGTGTGATCATTTGTACCTGGAAAAAAAAACCCTTGTAACCTGATGCAGCATTGCAGGGAATGACAAAAAGGTATACGCCCTAAATGGGATTATTTCTTCTTTTATTTTAATAACACTCCCTTTCTAAACACTCCTTTTTCAATGTCATTTGCATGAGAATATCGGATGTACAAACCAGAACTTGAGGAAGTTACT